GCAGGAGAAATCTTAACAGCAATTTCTTTTCTCTTCTTTGTGTCCCACAATTTGAACTATGCAAACTTGAAAAACATTAAAAGCCCGAATCCCTCAAGTATTTTGCCATCGAGAAGGCCTTCTTGTTCAACCCGCCTCCATGGACTCCTTCTTTACCCATAACAAGAACCAAAACTGAAACAGAAAAGATAGAAAAAATTATATGTTAGAGAAGTCAGATCCTAAAAGGTTGTACCAAGTCTAAATAATCACTTTTCATTTGCAAGCAATGAATTAAAACCAAAATCCTGGTATTTATAAAGTTCCTGATTAACACCTGATTGTTACCTTTGCCTGCTTTTCCTACAGAGATATTGTAGGTAGGTTCTCCTCCTTGGCTTTTTGTCCGGATGTCCATTGTCCATTCTCCATCATCCTGCAGGTTGTCTCGAAGAACTGAACACTTCTTTGAGCCTAGGGTCAGCCCACTTGTGAAGATTGAGGTCCTGTCCTTGCTAATAAGAGAGTCAATTTCTTGGGACTGGAACATAAAAAGATGATCTCTATCAGATAAAATAAACTAGTAAGTTAGCAATTCTGTCATCAAAACTAAAGTTACAATAAAATAACGCGCATGTTTCTAGTTTGGTAAATTGGGGAGTTGTTAAACTGAAACCTTGTTTGTGCACGACAACAAAAATGGCAAACCAATTACAAAAAAAAAAAAAAAAAAAAAAGTCCAGCCTCTGTAGGCTAAGGGTTTTAGCTTTTGAAACATGTTCCTAGTTTTGGTTAGACAGACCTGTTTAAACCCCACATTTGAAATATGTAAATAGCAAATAGGTGAAAAATTATCACAAATATTTCAGTAATAATATTAAAATGAGTTTAAATGTAAAATGTCAGAGCAATTCTTGATCCACACGCGGTCAGACGATAATCCCGTTTTTCTCATAGGCCACTGTGGACGAGCTAGCTCCATGCTAACAGACACGCGTGTGTATAAACAATAAAGACAGCGGTTTCAGTCATAATCTTCACGGCACCCATTTTACTCAAATGTCTTACCGTGATATTACAAAAAGTACCACCAGAATGTGATGCCCAAACATATTTGGCGTCCGTATATCCAACAATGGCGCCATCCTGACAGGAACCATCGGCCATCAGGTTATCCACGTAGCTTTGCCAAGACATTGTGAAGAAAATGAACTAATATTTTAAAAGCGCTGAATATGTGGCCACACAAAAGGCTGTCTAATAGCCAAAAATCTCTTTAGTCTCCAGTCTATGCCACTATTTGGCCAATGCTGTGGATCAAATGAAGCCAGAGCAGGGAGGCAGTGCTGGGTGTAGTCCGTATGAGATCCCTCCGCACAATGGGCACAGACTGGGCGCGCTTTAAGACAGCGGTGTGATGCAGACAAGAGCAGTGTACGGGAATGCTGTCGGCAACACAATAGATGTAATTATTTTCAGAAATATTTGTTATATCACATGTGCGTCTATGACATACTAATTAAGCAATTTCTACAGGTTTGTACTTAAACATTTTATTAGTGGGATGTTTGTAATGGGTCTTTTTATTTAGGCAACCGTTTTGAATTGCGATGAATGTGACTCTCTTCATTTTTTATTTTTTATTTTTTTTTTGATGATGAAGTCTTCTGCAAAGTTGGATCTTGTTTAAATTGGTGAATATAGAAGAACGATACTTTTGGTACACTGTAAAACCACTAGGGGCGATGTTCTCCATGTTTTTTTTTTTTTTTTTTTTTTTTTTTTTTTTTTTTTTTTTATAAATGAATGTAATTTCACTTAGCCCAAGGAATCAGTCCTAAAAGAAAAAGAAATAACCATTCCGGTTCCATACACTCATATTCCATATCCCCACTGTTACATCTTCTCCGTCAATCTATGGCGTCTGTTCTGAGAAATCCAAAGTCAGGTTTACTCTACAACAACTGCACATACTATATTGAGTTAGAAGGAATTCTACTCAAGACAAAATTAGTTAATTTTATTTTCGATGATATAGCCATAGCATCATATTTTAAAGTTACATTATTATTATTATTATTATTATTATTATTATTATTATTATTATTATTATTATTATTATTATTATGCTTTTACGCGTATTTGTTTTGCTGTAATTATTTTTTGCGGTTCCCTGTGGCTTAACCATGACTTTATAATTTTTCAGTTTTTCAGGTGTTCCGTGAAGGCATTCAGAGGTATTCACAAACATCTTTGCGCAGCTCTCCGTGCGCACTCTTCCTACCCACGATGCAGCGCGGCGCACACAACATAGCCATCTTGTCAGGAGTGACTGAGGGAGGTAACGGGTGGTGCTGTTTATATTGTCGATATTTAAAAAACGCAAGGAATTTATCTGTGGTCTCTCTCGAAACTACACGGACATACGAGTTTAGTGTCACTGCCAGGTGAATTGAGGCTGGTAAAGTGAGGTGGTGCCGAAAACTGCTTTTGTGAAGATGTCTCGTATACTTGTACCGACGTAGGGGGAGTGTGCAGCAGCCAGTTGGCTTCATTGCTAGCGTTAACCCAGTAAGTGGAGGGCTGTGGGCCCTCCTCAGCCTGAAGTAGCTCCTCTGGCTGGGGCCTTTGACAACAGCACAACCGGGACCCGAGACCGATCCGGACTGACTCAGAGGTTTGGATTAACCGTAGGGCGCTGCCGTTAAAAGTGATCAAAGCCGCATTGCTGGACTACACTCCCGGTTATGATCCCGTAAAACGCCACAGAAGAGCGACGGGTAAAGGGATGGCGCAGATTCAGCTGGACTTTAGTTAGCTGGTAAAGTATTTTGTTCAACGTGCTGTTCAATATGAATTAACGTTCTGCGAAGCTGCAACACAGCTCGTCTCTTTTGACGGAGGATAAATATAGCCATACGAGACTTGGAAACAGACCGCCAGTATGTCGAAAATGCCGGCCAAGAAAAAGAGCTGTTTTCAGATCACGAGTGTCACCCAGGCCCAGGTGGCGGCCATAGGAGCCGCAGACGACACGGAGAGCCTGGACGACCCAGACGAGTCGAGAGCTGAGGACGTGTCTTCGGAAATCTACGACATGTCACGAGCGGAGTATGAGCCCGCCAGTGATAGAAGTCCATCTGAAGAAGCCCAGAATAATGTGGTGGAGGTAGAGGCACCAGCAAACATACCTCAAGCGAGTCAGCTGTCAAACAAAGTGTCCAATCAAAGTGGCCAGCTGCAGGCAGGGCTTTCAACGGGGCCACCCGTCGCCCCTCAGCAGCAGGCAGGCTCTGTGTCTCTGAACACATCACAGACCGTGTCCAGCTCAGCTCCTGCTGCCTCTGGCTCCACTGTGAGCTGCACATCACGCTTCAGAGTCATAAAACTTGACCATGGTACTGGGGAACCGTTTCGAAGAGGCAGGTGGACTTGCACAGAGTTTTATGACAAAGAGCCTGAGAGCTCAGTGGGAAAGACTGGAGATAGCTTACGACATGCCAGTACTACACTGGACCCCAGTGGAGAGCGAGACAGTGGACTGGGCCACACAGTGGGCTCAGCAGCAGACACAGCGGTGTCTTCAGCCCGCATCATATCTGTGGAGACATTACCCACACAATCAGTCCAGCACACAGGCTTCAGCGTCCGTCAGCAGAGCCTTAGTGGCACACAGAGTGCCTTCTCCAACAGCAAACCAACTGGTGTCCAGCCTCTGCAGTCCAGCACTGGAGGCCTCCCACCACCTCAGGCTGTGCTGCCTGTGGGACAGAATGGGCTGCCTCAACCCGGTGTTCACTTACACAAGTCACCTGTCATGCCCCCTTCTTACCCTGCACAGCAGCATCTTCCCATGGGCCACCTCCTGACAGGTCAGCCTGCGGCTCTGGGACAGAGCCAGTCAGAGTACTATCAGCCCCCAGGCCCAGGTGTCCTTTCTGCTGGCCAAGGAGCTTCCTCAGTGATGCCTGGAGCCACTGCTGGAGTTTCTGTGCCCAGTCAAATTGGGGATATTGGGGGTTCTTTGCCTACAGGACCACCTCTTCCGCAGCAGCCAGTAGGAAATGTTCCTGTTTCCTTATTGGTTAGTGGGTCTACTCTACAGACTCAGTACATTGCAGCAGGCCAGCCTCCACTACATGGTGCAACACCATCCAGCATACAGAATGTGCCTGCCAATGCAGTGAGCTCCAGTGTGCCCAGCACCATGCCCACTGCTGTGCCCAGTGCCTCCAGTGCAGTCATGCCAAATGTGACCAGCTCTGCGTTGCCCCCAGCTCCATTTAAGACAGCAGTGGTGCAGGGGATCCCAGCAGCAGGATTGGGACAAGTGGAGGTTATGAGTGGAAGAAAGTCTGAGGTTCCTCATGTGCCTGGGAAGGAGCCAGTGAAACCTCTGACTGACGCCCTACAACTCTCCACACCCACCGTCAACAGCCTGTTTGGGATCCACATACCTGTGGATGGGGATGAGGACAGGTAATGCTACACCTGGCACACCCACAAACTATCTTTCATGGTTTATGTACAACAAAAACAAGACATGTGTTTTGATCAACAATAACATTTCAAAATGATGCTAATTTAGAATAGTAAAATATTCAAAATTTGTGAATTCCTGGCCACTGGTCCCCATTGACTTGTGAGACAGTAACAACAATTTTATACAATTTAAATACCTCTCCTGTGAACTTTCCACAGAGGTTTAGTTGTTAGCTGAGTGGAGGCAGGCTCCGTGCTCCTTTTGTACAGGCACAAACTTGTTAGCCTCCTGTCATACTGGGATTCCATGTGTTAAGCCGCCTCTGCTGCTGCCCGTCCTCCTGGACAGCAATGACCTTGTCTTTAAATTGAAAACCTGTGTGTTTAAGTCCACCTTTAATCAATTTAAAACTTGCCTCTTTCATATTTTATAAACATAAAATAGTGATTACATTTTTATTACTGGAGGCTAGATTTGTGTCAGTTTGTTTTGATTTGTGACCCATTTCTATTGGTCACTTTTTTGCTTTTAAACTTGATCTTTTTGACCACCTCCAGGAGATTATTATCTTTTGGCGTGCAATCTGGTTAGTGCAGAAAAGGAAATGTCAATTAATTTTTGTGTCATGTAGTTTGTTTCCTTCCCAGAGCATGTGCATTCATTCCTCACCCTGAGCTCAGTTTCACTTTGAGAAGGCGGCAGAGCTGAGCGGAAATAATACAGAGCCTGAAATCTCTCGGCGGTATTCTCTTGATACAGGGAAACGTCCTAACAGAATATATCGCAAACTTTCTCCATTTATGTACTTTGTTCCATTTTTGTCTACCTACCACACTTGCAAAATAAGCACATTAAGTAAAGTAAATGTTAAAGTCACCTTAGTATTAAAAACAATGGGCTGTCAATACTTAATCAAAGGATATTTCTTTGCTTTTGAAATGAATGAATGTGTTCTATTTGAGCTCAAGCTCTGATGTATGATACATGCTGAAATAACAGCACAAACACAAAATACAATATAATTTTTGTTTTGATTGATGTTATCCTTAAGCTGACATTAACATTAGCTTATTGACCACACTGGGGCTGATAAGTGAGGGTGGGGGAGTCTCTGTAGCGATAGTAAGGACTCCCTATCAAACACACAGCAGTAGCCTTTCTAGCGTGCCCCTGTGGGACAGATAAGAGACCTGTCAGAGGGGCGTGTCAGTTCTCAAACCTGTTTTCTGACTTTACCCTCCGGCATATCTACTCTACCTTATTTATTATCTCCATGGACACATATCGTATAATGGGACTGTAAAACAACAAATCACCTCAAACTACTGATGACACTTGTAGGCCTGTCACGATAATTACTATACTACTAATAATTGTCATTCAATATGACAAATGGAACAATATTTTTTGGGGGTCAATATTATCATGCATACTTTTTTTTTGCACAATATTTTTGGCTCTATGACAAGATATAAGATTTGAGCCATAAAAGTTGACTTAATAACTTCTATGACTCATTACAGATGAGTCTGCTATTTATTGATTGGAGCTCATGATTTTATTTTATTTTTTAACAGTATTTAAAACTGCTCTTAGGTTGTTGTGTCAGCGACGTAAATTAGCTGCATTATTGTCATTTATCTTTTTTTTTTTTTTTTCAGCAATATATAACACTTAAAGATGGACACTGGTTGCCTGTCCTGCTGTTTAGCTGAATTGAAGTGTTTTCACAGTATCAATGATCAGTGCGGCTGCCGCATCTTTGTACCTCCCACATCCACCAATGGGCTGACAGACGAGGCCAGACAGTTGTGAGGGTACAGTGGATGTGCTGAGTGACAGCAGCTTGGGTTTGTGTAGAGACTGAGGTCTATAACACCGTATAACCTGTTGAGCCTTCATACAGCAAGCATCTGAGCTATGTATAATGAAGCCACCCCTGTCTTTGTACCTGATTGGTTGATTATTTCTAGATCTTACGTAAACAGCCTTCACTTACACCTCCCAAAACTGTTTGACATAACTTTACTTAAATGTTTACATAGTTGGGTTGCATAATATACAAATAAGACACAAACACATTTGATGGGAAAAAAAATGATAATGATAATAAAAAAAAAAATTCAATTAGGGCTGGGTGGCATGAAGATAACCTGTTATTTAGTGCTTTATCACTATATGGTGATTTCACACAAAATCTGTTTTTTAAAGGCAGTTCTAGTCTCAAACACAGTCTCTTTTCCCCACTCTCCCCTCCTATTTGATTTTTTTTCCATATTGCCCCTAATTTCAGTTACATTTTTTAGAGATGTACCAAATACAATTTTGAGTTGTTGCTGTCTGATACCAAGTACCGATACAAATACATTCTGATATAATAGTAAATCTCATTCAGTTGATTTGGTTTTCATAGTATAGTTTACATTGTGGTTCTTGAGCACTGGGTAGGCTGGGTGTCTACTGCATAATTTTGCACGTCAGTGTTGAAAGATGTCTGACTATAGTGAAAATTTTGTGTTGTGTTTTAGAGTGTATTGTCCAGATAACTATTGTTAAAATACAACTACTTTTTTATGATTTATTGTTGCAGCCATAATTGTACAATGATTTAAGTTACAACCCAAAATACAAGCTGCGGCTGATAAATACAGTGTTTGGAATCTTGATTGTAGAGCACAGTGTGAGCCCTCCTCTCATTGTACCTATAATCGTTTTTGTCATGTCCCATGGTATCATGGACCCTGTGCTGTGATGCGTATTGTTTTGTATTTTGTATTGTATTGTGTGAGCCCTTGTACCTCCACTGCATTTGTTTTAAATCTAAATCTTTGGGGTGGAGTGGGTGGTCCCTTGTGTTTGCCCACACTGTCCTCCCCAGTGTTGTTCCCTTGAAAGTAATTACAGGACTCCAGTTGTGATACTGTAGACTGCAGCCTGGAGATGTAGCTCTCATCTTAACAATATAATTTATTTTCTCTCTCCAGTGGTTCCCAGCTGGCCTTGATAACTAAAGCTTTATTGTCATAGTGCCTTAGTTACTTGCAGAGGTTCTACATTTTGATTGTATGACTACTGTGTAGTTAGTGTTAGAATAATAACTAATGCAACTATTTAAACTAACATAAATGTTTATAAGAGCTTGGAAAATGCAGAGTCCAGGTCTGAAGTTGGTGCCACCTTGAAGCTCAGTGAGGAAGGGGATGTGTCCTTAAAGAGAGCACCCAGAAAATGTGTGCACAATTATCCTCATTGGGGGTAGGGGCCTCTTCTCAGGAAACTCAAAGCATAAAGTGTAAGCTTTGTATGTATGCAGATATTGGTTTGCACAACTCTTGGAGCAGTCTGTCATGCTCTCTGACCTGTTGATTTTTGTTGCTCACTTACACTTCTCCCCTGATTCATCCACTATCACTAGTTGGTGCTCAAACATGCTTTCTTTTCAACATTTGAGAGTCTAAGCATCTTTCATAACCTATTTAGCTAATAGATGGCCAAATAGTAGTTTATGCAACAGTGAGTGTTATTTTTACATTTTCATTACAGTGCAGGGCTGTGCAAAACAGTTTTGAAGGCTTTACAACTAATTTCTGTTATTACACACAACAACAACAAAAATATATTATTTACAATAATATTGAAGTGCATTCCATGCACACACGTCTTTCCATGAGTGAAAAAGTTACTGGTTTGTTGGAGCTTTCTGTTTGTAGAATATATTCATGAGGGCTTGATGTGTTTTGTTCACTTAATTTTAGGTATGCACTGCTCATCTCTCTGTGCAAGTCATCGACTTCAGCAGTTTTCATATTTCAACAACCCTAGCATAATGATACACAGAAGCTTTGGAAGTGGAAGTAAAGTGAGTTGTACATGTCCTCCTATAAGATTATCCTTAAAGTTGTTCCATGTTTAGTATTTTCCAGTTTCCAGCTTTTCATCACTATCTGGTGCTTGGTTTGAGGTGCACATGTTTGAGTGGCTGCAGTGCTGTCACTGTCATCACCTCCTCCTTCTGCTTCTCTCCTCCTCATTGTTTCAATGGACACGAGCAGGGCCTCAGTCACTGCTGTGCCATGGCCTGTTGGAGCTGAGCATTTGACTGGGATGTACTGTACTATGCCGCAGATAAACTCCACTGGGAATATCTTGTTTTTGTGAAGTGTTGTTCAGTAACACTAAGTCTAGTTTTGTTGTTCTGTGCCTATGGTCTCAGTCATGTGACAAAAGTGCCTATCAGAGTTTAGTCAAGTCTGTCATTTTGTGTGATGAAGTCTGAAGCATTTGGTTGCACAGTGAAAGTTTGATGCCATGTAATCCAGTGTTACGTACCAACAACAATAGACAATTAAAGTATCAAAGTTTCTTTAGCATTTTACAGCTTTGCAGTTAGAAACTTAAATAATAATAATCTCACAGTAGCCATCTATCTATTATATATTACAGTACATGCCATATTGTGCCATCTAAAAACTAGATGGGATCTTGCCAACAGTTAGAATAATGTTCAGTAGCTAGTTCTGTTATAGAAAGTGATCACCATCTTCAGCTGAGCAGCCTTCATCTTGTAATGAACGGTGGCACCAGTTCTGCTTCTATGTTTTACAATCAATCTTGTTCATCCACAACCCAAAACCTGCTGAAAGAAACTCCCACAGGACTGGTGAAATCTAAATAGTTCTGACCTACTTCTGTGGCGTGGCAGCTGCATGGATGGGGCTGAGAGCCTTGAGTTAACACTTGGCCTTTCAGCAGGTTCTCTAAAGCTGCACAGGCCCGGCCCCTCTCCCTCCCCTGGGGCTTTAGGACTGTTGAACTGGCCCATACCAACCTGTGAGCTGATGTGACCAGAACCTGTGCCACAACATGTTTTTTGAGAACCATCTTTTGTTTAGTTTGGCTTTCCTGGCTGGAGTGTACTCAATATTTGATTGCTGAAGTGTCCAAAATCTATTTCAAAAAATCGAATAAGCTATTAAATTTGAGATGTATTTATTAGTCATTCTCTTTTCTCTTTGGCCCAATGCCGTGTCTTGTGGGATTTGTTCAGATGTTAGATATGTGTTTCCTTGTGATTAACTTGCTGACATATTTGTATACCACATGTCTCCAGTGTAGTCACTTATCTTTCATATTTCTTCTCCTTTCTTCTCCTTGAGATGGTAACTTTAGACTTGTGCTGGTTGTTCATATGCTAAATGACTGGACAGGCTTATTAGTGGTGGAGAAGAGGGCCTTTGCTGTGGCGGCTGCTCTGTAGAACACACACTCAAGGAAAAGCCATGCGTCATGCTCAGGCCCCAGTGTGACATCAGCCCACAAGAATGCACCAAAAGGTTATTTTAGTCAGCCTACAATCGGCCCAATCTGCTTAGGTCTCAATGTGTAGCAGAATGGACTTTAAGTGTCTTTTGGAACTAGATTTTGGGAGTCTTTACAGAAATGTCTTCAGTGTTGTTGTGAGAAGGTATCTTGAAGCTCAACCTCCTCATCTATATTTGTAGCTGCACTTACTGGGGTTTATGGGGCAGATGGTGCTTCACAAAGAGTCTCTTTCAGAAAAGGATATTGACATGTTATATTTAAGTTTTACAAAGACGGGCATTGAGAGCCAAGCGATTTCAACATGAAAACAGGAACTCTTCTTCTTCTCCCTCGTACACTTACTGGACTCCAGGTTGTCTGACCTCCATGATATTAACCAATGGAAACGGCTTGGCCCCTAAAGTATAACTGTGGAGGCGTGTGCTTGGATCTGTTTTCTTTGCCTGCAGAGTGAAGTGAAGCAATGGCAGAGGAGGGGCTCTGTAAGAGGGTTCAGTCATGAGGTAACGCGAGAGAGCACATTTGTGCCAGAGATTTCTAGGAAAATGGCTTTGGCTGCTCTATAATATTCACACACATGCTCCATATCAACTCCTCCTTCCCCTGTGCTGTTCTATGTGAGTTGGCTGCTCCCTTGTCTCTATGAGCCCATATGCATAGTGTGTATAATGTGTATAGTGTGTATGTGAGATAGCAGCAGGGAGGCTCCATCAGATGTGTGTGTGTGTTGTGTGCACGAGTCTGCGCTAGTGTGCTAAGGGTCAGAGCGGGGATTTCCTTTCCCCTTCCCGACATGCATCCCATGTCACAGCAGCACACACTGTTCCTTTGTTCTTCTTAAATGCAAATACACTACAATCATTGAACTACCCTCCAATAGTTTGTAGTGATACTTTAAATGCCTCCTGAGCAAATGTAAACCAGTTTCAGACATGACAGACGAGCCAGTTCACTTTCTTGCAGGTTGATAGTGAGTGATCGGCAGGTTGTTTATGAATATGCCTGAGGGAGGTTTGCACTCTCTATGAAGCAATCTTCATTCCTTTTTGCTCTCTTTCTCTTACTCTATCCCCCTTTCTCTCTCTCTCCCCCTCTCTCTCCCCATCTCTCCCTCGCTCTTGCTTCACACTCTCTTTTTCCGCCCTCTTTTACTTGCTTGGTTAATTTGCTTTGCGTAGACCTCCTAAAGACTCTATAGGGGGCTGCACATAAACTACTACATTAGGATACACGTTGTCTTCTAGGAATCACATGCCCCTGTGTCACAATATGTTCTTATTGTTTTCATCTGCTCTTTTTTCTGTTTTTTTTTCTCTCTCTCTCTCTCTCTGAATACGGTTGACACAGGAACCCCTCCAAGGCTTTCTACCAGGCCTTCCAGTCTGGCAGCAGATTAAGAGATTCAAAGGCCCTCAGTGATAGGTACAGTACTGCCCTGGTTTGGCCGCTGCTGGTCTGCAAGAGTGTTGCATTTGTGTGCCATGTGCGCCTACAGACTTTTCTTTGTCCACATGCATGGGTTACATTTGTGAGTCAAGAAACATTGTATATGGAGCAACAACATCGTCTCAAATCCTGTAAGCATCACAAGAGTCTGTCAAAAAAACTAAAAGTTATTAAGGCATTAATCCAAAGTATGAAGGGTGAAATGTACAAACAAAAACTTCCTTTGTAAAATTTAGGCAGATTACAGCTTAACCAGGAAGTGGACTCAAAGCCTAATAGTGGCTTTGACAGAAGGGAAGGATGAAATTTAAAAACTCACTATAGTTTTTGTCAGATCATACTAGTTGCAACAACACATTGCCATCTAAATCTGTACATTGCGGTTTTCTTATGTCTAGTGAATGCTTCATAAAAGATAAGGTGTGAGCATGTGCACCCTAGTAGTCTTGCTTGAGTTCTTTGTTGTGCTGTTTTAATTGATCAGATGAACCTCACTTGCTGAATAATTTTGTGACCAAAGAAAAAAGGGAAGCTGACAAACAAGTATTGAAGTGACAGGAAATGAAAGTGCTTGACTGAAGTATATATCTGACACGTCGCCAACCCCAGCCTCTGCACACCATCAGTGCAGTGCAGGAAGTTGGCATTTGGTTTTGTTTTTGGTTTTTGAATGTATTGTCTCAAGCTGTTTGGTTAACAATATAAACTTTTCAAAACAGTTACTGTCACCATTATATAAATTATGTTGCAACATTATGTTTTTTGCCCCTGACTTTACAATAGATTTGGACTGTTTATATTGCAGTGTAATTTTGAGCTTGGTTCAAGATTTTCTCCTGTAAGACAGTCGTTCCACTCTACTTAGTTTTTCTGTGCACCTGTTGTCCCAGGGCTCATGAGTAGGCCTCGCCTTCTCAACACGCTTTAACAGGTCTTTAAGTCAATTATATATACTTGTCTTTATTTCACTGCACCACTGAAGGACCTGACAAATATTTAGTAAACCAACAGCTGAAGGCACAATCTCATTTGCTTTTCCAGGGGAATTACTCTGCCAATTTTGATCCATTTCCACCAGCTGCTGGAGTGTAAACTTCTCTGTCTCTAATGGGGTTTTTATTAGCATTTCTTTACAGGCTATCTGAGGCTAATAAATGTTGGCAGCGCTAATGCTCATGCTGAATTTTATGGTGAACGTTTCATAATCATTGGATGCGACCAGCCCGGCCCTGCAGCCTCGCAGCCTGACCCCAGTGACACCAGTAGTTACATACTGTTTGCTTAGTGACACTAGTAAAACAGTGCAGCCTCATTTACCAAGCCCTGAGCACACTTTTGTTTTAAGTAGAGATCCCAAACAAGTTTGTGGCTTTAACATAAGCTATAGCGGCTTAGCCAAGATCACATGCATCAGGGGTTAGCTTTAAAGAGGCCAGGACAGTGCAGTCTCCACTGCCTGCCACTGGGGCGGCACCAGAGGAAAATCATGTCAAATAGGATGATCAGATTAATGGCCACTTAGCATAATACTGTGTTTTACATAGAAAAATGTGTAATTACATTTTCAAGTCTTTTGACAAAAATACAGTTCATATACAGTGTGATTATGTTGCATATTTACATAAAATATCAATACACAAATTCAGACAATTCTCAGACACATTTTCATGAAAACTGGACAATATTTTTAAGCTGTGCATTTGCTAATATTGCATTAACAATAACATTTAAATGCAATGTGCTTTGGTGCCGTTAACCGGTGTACATCTTTTTTCTGTCCATCACATTTGACAAGTTCCTTTACCTGAACTGTGCTGTTTGGCTACAGAGCCTATGAGTTATCCGTTGAGGAAGTCCTCTCTTCATAGGTCACAGAGACCTGCGTTTAAAGGTTGCATAGATTGTCAAGTGTCCTTTTATGAGGTCCCACTCTGTTGGGGCCATGTGCAGAGGCCGAGAGCATCTGGAGATAAGTAGCATGCCACTGCTGACATGGTAGCATCAGCATTTATGAGCACAGTCCTTTTGCAGACCAAGGAGGCATTCCTTCATTGCAGGAAGTGCCTGTCTTAATAAATATTAAATACATATACAATTAACCAGTAAAAGGTTTGCATTTTTGCATAAAAGTTACAAATTCAAAACTGGTTTCGTCTTCCTAATGCAGCTAATTGGAATTCTCGCCAGGCTATATGGTCATTCATAATAAAATGTAATGGTTCTGGTTGTGAAAAGTTTTGTAAACCCCAGATTTTTTTCTTTTTTGGAGGAAGACATTGTGGCAAATTGGTACCACAGTACTTCACTGCTAACCATGATTGTAGCTGATTAGTATCAGGTCTTGGCTAAATGGTTACCAGCTGTGTATGAAATACAGTGATGTAACTATAGGAAAGTGAAATAGTGTAGATACCTTGGCCTTATTTTGTGTCTAAATTCCACGGTAAAGCAGTAAGGGTGTAGCCTTCAAGTCCATTGAGTCTGTGCTTTACATGGAGGACCTCCTCTTGGCACGGGCCTATTGAAATTTCTGTGGAGGGAAGCTATAGGAGGGCCTGTCTGCACCGCCTGACTAAATTAAACACACACTAGGTCCAGGGTGAAGCAGAGTTTGTTTTTTTCTTCTAGTAAATGGTGTTGTGTAAGTGCGTGTGTGTGGGGGTTGCACAATGTTTTGGAGGCCGGACTGGATGGACCAACGTTTTCTGAATAGTACGTTCTTGCTGCTGATTTGCGTCTTGTTGTGGGTGTGTTTGAGTGACAGCTGCTGTGTCTTATAAACACACACAGCCTTGTTCATTGTGCCATCTCTGCAGCATGTTCATGTTGTCAGAGCAAATGTTTCTGTCACATCAAAGGGGGAGCTGACTGACAGCAGAGGTATGGGGAACATTCCTCTGATAACAATCTGCTGAGTGCTTCCGCTGGCCTAAAGGACCTGTTAGATGGTTGGAAGGAACAGAACATCTTGTCCTCAGGGCCAGTGTTTTCATTTAAGTCATAACTCACCACATGGTGGCATCAGTGTTCAGGCAGGTGAGGCCTTCTCATCTTTTTGTCTCATCTCAATTGTCTTTCCTTGCTTCCTCCTCTCGAATCAATACAGTTTCCTGACATTGGCCCTCCACCAGTCTCTAGGCCCTCTCCCCAAATTTTGTATGTCCATTGCTTATCTCTATATTTATACAATATAGTTCTTTATTATAGCTAAGAAATTAGTAAGTATGATGATGATTTTATTTAATTTTGGTCACAATAATAGATTAGTACTTGTTAAAGAATACATATAATAGATATTATTGTGCTCTGCACTATATTTTTGTGTCCCTGCTGTCCAGAGAAATGTGCTGGTGAAATAGATTTTTATCCCATTGACCCACAGTTTATGTCTCCTGCCTCTCTCCTCATCATCTCTCCTCTTCTCAGTCTTTTCTGTGGCTGGGGCTTCATTCACTTCCTCTGGAGGAATTGTGGACAGTAAGAGGCAAGGAAAGACACTGGTCAATGAGACTGGTTTACTTGAACTGGATCCTGCACTAGGACGGGGCAAAAAAATCGATGAAATTCATTAATCAAATTTGACAATCAATGCATCTGATTCGGATGCCTCCTGGACGCCTCGCTCGGGAGGTGTTCCGGGCACGTCCCACCGGGAAGAGGCCCCGGGGAAGCCCTAGGACACGCTGGAGGGACTGTCTCTCGGCTGGCCTGGGAACATCTCGGGATCCCCCTGGAGGAGGTGTGTGTGGAGAGGGAAGTCTGGGCGGCTCTCCTCAGACTGTTGCCCCCGTGACCCGACCCCAGATATGCGGAAGAAAATGGATGGATGGACATTCAAAGTAATCTGTAATCAGTCTTTATTTCCCTCACTTTCATACATTGGATGTGGCATTGAAAATGCCAGAAGGACTGCTCACTGCAGTCACAGGGACCAGAGTTTAGTACAGGGACATGCAGCACTGACTTTAAAATCAGTGAAATTAAATGCAATAGTATGTTTTATCTTTTCATAAAAGATTTCCCCAGTGGCCAGTGGGTTAAATATGATCACTGAATACAATCTTTTCAGTTTTGACAATTTTCTGTAGTTTGTAGAACATTTTAGTGGAGAGGGGGGAAAAAATGTAATGGCATTTTTGTAGAAAAAAAATCACATTTTATTTTCAGGCAAAATCACTCAGCCCTACCCTGCATGTGAAATGCTGACTTAACACTTTGTTGCTAAAATGCAAAATGGCCAACTAAAATGTTGAGCAATCAGGTGACCTACTGTCTTACTGCTCTCTTTGTGGATTACTTTTTTGCTTGTCCCATTTAATTATCAACATGTTACTCTCCTCTAACTAATCATGACTATTACCTGGAGTACACTAGGCTATCCACTGACTGGCTGTTTAATCATATTGTGTTTCAGTACAAAGTTGTAGAAGTGGATAGTGGATTCTAACTCTCATTGAGTTCATAAAATCTTACCTTGAAAGGCATTTACTTAGTAAATTTGAGTGGGTCAGTGGTCCTAACTTTTGTTCTGGTCACTTGCTGTATTTAAAACAAATGGATTACTTGCCAGTATAACGCCTGTGGCATTCCAGAGGCGTGGCCTGCAGAATGTTCTGTGTGTGTGCCCGCCTCCTCTCAGCTGTGGGCTGCTGCTGCAGGTTCATGTTTCATTTTTCTAAAAGTAGTCACTGTAGCTGCTCTAAGCCGCCTCCAGCCATTGCCCTGGCCTCTTTTTGTGGGACGTAGTGGAGCTGTAGTTTTGGTGCTTGTAAGGGCCCACATTATGCCGTGCACGTTCTCCTTTAGACCGCCGTGCTGTGCTGAGCGCTTGCAGCAGCAGCAGAGCTTTGGGCCGCTGTTCACACGCCGCTTATCACAGCCACACCGCAGGTAACCTCACCTGCCACTCATTGCTGCTCATGCAGCCTGGATTACTCACCACTGTCGGCTTTAGATTCAAAATTACACTTGTTTTGAAGTTTCTTGCACATTTGTTTGTGTTTCTGCTGTTTGGGCTTGTTGGTAAATGAGAAACTAAATTTAATAATATTAGCCTATAGGTCTATTGTCTGAATTTGTAATAGCATAATATTGCAGTTGTTCTATTAACATGAAGGAATTTTCTATTTCATAGCACATATTCACACCTAATCCATACTGTACATTGTGTGGTACTAATGTCTTTGTACTTCTGTGCAATGATCTGACCTAAATTGGACTCCACACTGACTGTGCTGCCATATTAATAACAAGCTGTTTTACTGTCTCAGTGTAGTCCTAGACTGTTTATGGCCTGTCCTAGATTCTTCTGTATACTGGTTATTTGGTTAAACACCAAAGGTGTGCAGTTCAAATGCTCTTGTGATGCATCCATTATTAAGTGCATTGGTCCTAGTACTTAACCAAAGTTTACAGAGATTTTTGTCAATATACTAATCTGACATATCTTGACTCTTCTTTTCTTTCACAGTGCCTCGGGAACCAATGTTGTTGCCATTGACAATAAAATTGAACAGGCAATGGTGAGTATAAGACCATTCAATTGTGTTTTCATATGAACATAATAAGTATGATATTGAAATTAGAGATATTGCATTGCTCTTCTGACCTATTCATATGCAAATGTATGAGGAACAGTGAGTGCATTCTATTTTAATTTTTATTTTTTTATTGTGCATTCTACATTCTAGCTTTGAGCTCTTGATGTCATTGTAATAGTTGGTACCTGTTGGCTCATGTGGTCCTCTTGCCTGTTGTAGGACCTAGTGAAAAGCCATCTGATGTATGCAGTGCGTGAAGAAGTGGAGGTCTTAAAGGAGCAGATCAAGGAGCTGTTTGAGAGGAACTCTGTTTTAGAGAGGGAGAACGCAGTGTTGAAGTCCTTGGCCAACACTGAGCAGCTGTCACAGCTGTCTGCACAGACCAGCTCCACGCCTCCTCAGCCTGCGCTCCTTCCTCCCAACCCCCCTGTCCAGACTCCGCTTGACCCCAGCCAACAACTGCAACCCAACGTCACCTCAGCTTGAAGCGCAATTCAAAACTACAAGCAGCGTTTCCTGACAACCTATTACAGTTAGTGTATGTGAAAATTCAAAGAAGAGAAAACTTTGTCTTCTTAGCCACCAGCTTGACCACAGAGTACAGTGTACATTTGTGTGTGTGCGTGCCAGGCCGAGTTGGCGACAGCGACTGTGAATTGGTGTTGAATGTCTGTGCATCTGTACTGTGGGCCTATCCAGTGTTAATGCAATCACAAAGTTTATAGAGGTGATAATCAGGGTGGTCTTGGTTTGTTAGAGTTGGCTACAGTATGTGTTCACATTGACTAACTGCTGGGTCCAAGCTTGCAATGATATGCCTTGAATTGAAGGCATCTCTGACACCTGCTCTAGAACATGAACAGGTGCGCTTTACCTCCCCTAAGGGACAAATAGTGTGATTGTCAAAAGAGAGCGTTATTTTTTTAATGAAATAATCTGAGTGGGTTAAGGGGTATTTTAGCCTTGCTGTTTCATGTTAAAGAAGTGGGAGAGAATGGAGATATACCGCTGCCGTTACTTTTACATTAAGTCCAACCTTTGCATCAGTCTTTGAGTTCTACTGTTAAGTGTTTTATTTATTACAGGGCTGCTATTTCCATAAATGAACAATTTCTTCAAACCTGTTAAACTGAGTCTCTCTCTTTTACAGTGTTTTTGTTTTACATCCCTGGGGCAATTCTTAAAGGCAAACATAAATCCTGACAAATGGATAAACACTACTCAAATTTATGCTGCAATTCCCAATTCAAAAGTCAAGTCCAGATTTATGAATGTAATAAGTATTAAGAGCCTTGATGAGTAATTCTTCGTCTACTGACATTAATGCAATGTTTACACGGCAACCATTTTTCACAAATTCGCAATGTTTTTTTTTTTTTTTTTTATCGTATTCGCATCTTTTACAGGACACCAAACTCCGCGTTGAATCAGTGCTCCTTTTGAAAACCCTGAAAAGATTTAATTTAGGACGGAGATCATAATTACTGGGCAGACCGGTTCTCTCAAGGGGAGGGCAGCGCAGCTCCAATCTGTGCATTTGTGATTCGCTGTCTGCGTGCAGTTCACAGCCGACAAGCGATTGTAAATTACAACACTTTTAGGTCTCATACATTTATATTTACTCAAGAAACCGGTAGTGAAATATATTACTTTTACGTAGGGGAAATGTCCCAGAGAAGCACAAAATCTACAAGTTACCCCTAAATTGTAAACAGGAAGTAGGATTTCCTCTGCGGTACGGTGCAGTGCGTCAGTAAGGAGAATAGCGCCCTATGCTGGACAAAAACGCATACTGCTGCTTTTCATACATAAAGCTTGTTTTCGCTGATCAAATTGAGGGTGAATGCAGATTTTCCGACCTGCGTTGCCGTGTAAACAGGGCCTAAAACTAGGATAAACATCTAATATGTCAAATCTGATTTCTCTTAGTATCATTTATTGTATTTCGATGTTTTTCCTGAAGGGGGCCAGGGGGAAAAGCTGTGAAATCATTCAACCTACTTTGTAACCAAAGATGCAAAGCTGTGTAAATTGATTCATTTTAAAATGCACACATTTTGTTACTTTCTCCTCCACAGAATATTTTGTTGCTGTTTGGCATGTTCTGCATGATCTGTAATTTTCAACCACTTTCTTACCTCATTTTTACTCAGCACTCTTATTGTAAGATAGTCTGTGAACAGTGTAACGGGGAAAGCTACAGCATTGGCAAGAGAAAAAATAACCTAGTGTTACTGACACTAGTCACAGAAAATGAAGTGAGCCATGTTTGTTCATTCAAAGGTGTTTGAATTTCATATGCCAATAGTTTTGTTACATTGCAAATTTTAATGTATTTAAAATAAAAGCAATATTCAGATTCCAAATCTGCTGGACTTTTTGTGTACTTGTTGAATTCTACTTCTGTAGTTACTAATCCAGTGAGATCAGAAATAGAAAAAAGTTATACATTTTTTAACTCCTTGGTGAAATGTATAAAACAATTTATAATTTCCATAAAAATAGGACCCACAAAAATCCATTAACAGCCATTAACAGCGTCTTTAGTGTTGGGAGGGTCCCTTGGTAACTCAACATCCACAAGACAAAGAGGTGAGAACGACACTGACAATTGCACTGTTCAAGACTCTGATCAAGTCTACGAGTCACACTGTGCTATTTGAAGAGTCTGTTGGAGGCTGGGTCACTGAGTGTCAGTCTGAAGAAAGGCTTTGGCTGAAATGGTCAATCAGCCTACGGTCACAAAACGATTGCCTTTAGCGTGCTGTGCTTTAGCCGTGCGCTGGTCCTTAAGGATCCGGAAGCGCTCATTTAAAGTCATAGATGTCTGCTGGAAAAAGCACAATATAAGTATAAAAAGACAATTTAAATAATTTGTGTGGCATAAAAGTGAGCATTCTCTTACTGGCTTTGCAACACTGTTGATGTCAAACTGCAGGGCCACTCCTTTGGGGATCTTTTTTTCCACTGTCTCGAGTTTGACTGGGGCAGTTCTCACAGCAGGGGGGTGAAGTGTGTAGGCTGTGGGAGGCCTGTAGATTTTGGGTTAGAGACTTTGATTTGTATAATTTTTCATTATTTAATATTTCATGATTCTCAAACATTTTTTATTTAAAAAGCTTACTCTGGTTGAGTTCTGGCAGACGGATTGTCAATGGATACTGTCAGTATTCCGTTATTGGTGGATGTACGCCACCTTGTGGACATAAACCAGAAGTAATTTACTCAAGATATATATATATATATATTTTTTTTATTATTATTATTTTTTTTACTTTAGTGACACCAGTTAATGAAAAATTATTCTATAAAACCATGAAGAGTGATTTGAAGGTGAACAATTACTTACTGTCTACTCCTGACTGGAGGATTTGGTTTTTGGACTTGAGCTTGAATCTGCAGAAAAAAAGACAGCAACCATAACCCTCTATGATCTACTCATCTGATGAGTTACACTGAAAGAAGGAGGGTCATGAGATAGCAGATGTAAGTACATGGGACCAAAGCATGTTAGTGTTTCCATGTATACCTTGAGTCCTCTGTGAAATAGAAATGTGGCTTGACGTGCATCCTTCTGAGTCTGGAGCGAAGGCAAGGGTCTAAGTGGGAAAATGTGGAGTTGTTAGATGGTAAAAACAAGATCAAGATGTTGACACATTAGGTATCTGAAGAGTGAGCAAAGCCCACCTCAAAAGTGAGATTAAACCAAAGCCTAGTTTATTTCACAGTCCAGGTTTATTATTCTGTTATTTGATTATTGCTTCAACTCAAACTGTGTTTTTTATTGGATTGCAATTATATTGACTAGCCCTTGCCTGGACTTGAGCAACACTGATGGAACACACTGCTTCCATGCAAAAGAAGCCGCCCTGGAAGATAATTTCAGTTCTTCTGAGCTTCTCAAGAACAGTGAAAAAAACTTAACAATCTGTTCCTGCATTTGGAGAGTGCGTACCTCCGTCTAAGCTGAAAAGGTCTTTTGACTGTAGAGGGATTCGGACTCCTTTGTTGTTCTGGTTGCCTGTAGGTCTTCCTTGGCCCCTCTGGTTTCCTGTACTGGTTTGTACTAGCAGTGTTTTGGGTAAAAGGTTTTGTTTTTGCCCTCTAAAGAATCAGGAGGGAAGAAACAGAATCTGATTAGTAAAAAGCAATCTGATCTAAAACAGGTATGATTCTGACCATCTTCAAGACTTAAAATAAGCATAAAAACAAAAGGGGCACTATAATTGCCTTGTTGATATAAAACTTTTCTACTGACAACAGCTCAGGACAGAGTTGATACCTTTTAGCAGCTGCACAAATGTCACTTTCACAACCTGCAGATGTGTGAAACCCTTTTTGGCATTTCCATTTAAACAGCTGGTTCCATGCAGCAAATGCTTAAACCTACAAATTTTGGATTCTCAGTGCATTCAGCACTAGTAACCCAAAACAGGTTAATTTATTTCACTTACTGTTAAGAAACCTCGTTTCCCTTGTGATCCTGCAGCTGTTCTGTTGATCGTTCCCAATCGTTTAAGCAGCGCCCCGGTCCTGCGGGATGCCAACCCTGTAACGACCCCCGGGGCCTGCCCCCGTCTCCGCGCTGGGAGGTTCGGCATCTTTCTGTTGAGTTTATGGCCCCCTCTCTGAGACAAGCCAACTCCTGATCAGAAAATAAAGTTCAAAATACAAGTTTACGAATAAACCCAGTAAATCCAGCCAGCGTGTTTTTTGGTGAGGTTATAGTTGTTACCCCTCTGAGTGGTGAGAGCTGCAGTTCTGGACTTGACACCTTTCCCTTGCATTAAACGGCCTTTCTTCTTGACTGGTCTGCGGTTCACGGTCCCCTGTTTTTTGTTCAGTTTTTGCTCTTTTTTGTTGAGACGAATAATATCATCTGTTGGACACAAAATGTAAAACAAATGATTGAAGTTCTGGCGAAATATCGGATCTACAAAGCCAGTTCTGCCATCAACCTCTCTGTAGTTTTAGCAACTAGTTAGCTATGATGAGCTAACATTAATAAATGAAGTTATCGTTAGATTCGAGAGTCTTTACCTAATGACATGTCGACCTTGTCCATGACTGCTGCTTTGTTTGCGTGTCCGGTGTAGATGCCAGTTGAACTGGTTCTAGATACTCTCACCAAAACAGGTAAAATAAAAGAAGGCTGGTGACTGACAGGGCAGCCTGCTGCTGCTGCTGGACGTCGTCTCTTTTTGAGCCTTGCGCGCCCCTCCCCCTTACGTATATTTCTACGCGTGCGCCGAATTTACTATGTTGTATTCTGGGAAGTGAAGTCCAACTCGGTAAAAACACGGCGGTTACAAAACACTTAAAGAAATGCTCATGTAACTGGTTGAATAAGGGAAAACCGCATGGTTACGTGTCTGATACAGTCAGAATTCAGTCTCTGTATGCGCTATACCTTCTTCAGAACGTGAGTATTGAAATAATGGCTACAATGGAAATAACGTACTTTATTTATTGGTTGCCTTATAACGTTGCAGTTTGCATTTTTACAGCGTGCAACTTATTGTCTCTATATTACAGCTTTTGTGTGACGGCACCTAAAGGACTTTTGAAGTGTCCTCTCAATACTCCTCTGTGTCCACATTTCGACCAGTTTCATTCATTTCGTTGCAAACCTATCATGTCTCAAAAGCGCAAGGCTACCACTGACGCTGGCGCCGAGAAGCCTAACAAGCAACCTAAAATCACCTCCGAGAAAAAAGCAGCCGGCTGGCTACAGGAGCAAGTGCTAAAACAGAGGGCAGAGAAGAAGGAAATGAAATTCAACAAAAAACGCCTCCGATTTCTCACAGATACTCAGAAAATAAAGCAAGGCGCAGAGGGTATCCTGTACTGGATGAACAGAGACCAGAGAGTCCAAGGTAGGCTGTTTTGAGCCCTACATTCATTACCCCACAAACCGAGTAGTAGCTGATATATTTCTGTGCTCTTCAGATAACTGGGCTTTGATCCACGCACAGCGGCTTGCTCTGAAAGAAGAGCTCCCTCTGCACGTGTGTTTCTGCCTGTTGGTTCCTAAATCCAAACTTTCCACTTACAGGCATTTCAGCTTCTTGTTAAAAGGCCTCGAGGAAGTTTCACAGGTAGGAATGGGTCTATTACAGCTGTTATATTGCTCCTACAGGCCTGTCCTACTGATCGCAGGCCTATCTCTAAGGATGTTATCTTTGTCACTTTAAAACTTTTGACATGCTAAGAAATTAACTTGTGACAGTAGATAATTATTTGATACTATTTTCCTCTTCACACCTTTAAATGCTATATTACAGGTTAATATGCTGCCTTATTAAACCTTTGGCACGTGTTACATGAACCCTTGTTTTCATCCTTGCATTTGCTCATTAACCCTGAGTAACCCTGAATTTATTTTAGGAGCTTAAAACTTTAGGCATTGAGTTCCACCTCCTGCATGGACCACCAGGGGAGGTCCTACCTGGTTTTGTATCCGATCGCAGTTTGGGGGCTGTGGTGACAGACTTCTCCCCTCTCCGAGAGCCTCTGCAGTGGCTGGAAGATCTAAAAAAGAAGCTCCCCAAAGACATTCCTTTTATACAGGTAAAAATACAATCACTAATGAACAATTTACAGCATTTTCAGACCATTAAGAGACTTATTTGTTGTAGGTTGATGCGCATAACATAGTGCCGTGTTGGGAGGCATCCCCAAAGTTGGAGTATGCTGCTCGAACCATTAGAGGAAAGATTAACAAGGTTTTGCCAGAATTCCTCACAGACTTTCCTTTAGTCGAGAAACATCCCTACATTGCAATCAGAACAGCCAAAGTAAGTGCAAAATGTGCTGAATGTTAATAATAATAATAATAATGATGCATCCGTTTTATATAGTGTTTTTTAGCCGGACACTCAAAGACACCTTACAGTGCATTATTCATTTACTCCATACGCCATTCACTCCATACCACTGCTAGTTATTTTAATAGATCCATGCTCTGTACTCAGTGGTGGTAAGCTACTATTGTAGCCACAGCTTCCCTGGGGCAGATTGACAGAAGCGAGGCTGCCAAGATCTGCCAGTGGCCCCTCCAACCACCATCACTCACGGACACACCTCTTTCATACTGGCAATGTGGGTGAAGTGCCTTGCCTAAGGACACGGTGACAGTTTTTGAGACTGGTACCCACCTGTGGCACCTGATTTTCCCAGCGGTCTCCCATGCAAGTACTAAACAGGCCCGACCTTGCTTAGCGTCTGAAATCTGGCAGGATTAGGCTTTGACAAGTTGATATTTAAGCCTTTATCGAAGTCCTTCACTAAAGTCTCTACAATCTTTAGTTTTGAGTTTTTAAATAAATAATGTTCACAGCTCACACTGTCTCGAGGCTTAGATTTTTTAGTTCAGCGGATATTAAATCTCTGTTTCTGTCATTGACATTCTGGTGGCTCTGCTCAGTTTTGTCCTGTACTTGAAGTTTTTCCTCATCTGAGTCCTTGTCTCTTTGTCCTCGTAGCAGGTGGACTGGGCCAAAGTGCTGGCATCTCTGCAAGTGGACAAGACTGTGGGAGAGACAGACTGGGCTAAACCGGGTACGAAGGCAGGGATGGCCATGCTGGAGTCTTTCATTGATGTTCGTCTCAAACTATTCGCAACCCAGCGCAATGACCCTAACGCTGCTGCGCTGAGCCAGCTCTCTCCCTGGATAAGATTCGGTGAGTAGCTCTCTCTTCATTAAAAAAAAAAAAAAAAATCACAAAATCAATGCAAACTTATATAGTACCATGTTGTTTAATAATGCAATTCTTACATATTCACAAGGCTTTTACCACAAATGAGATACATTCAAAAACAAAGCATCAACATAATTAAACAACAACATAAAAAAAACATAAAAAATCAACATAAAAAAAACAAAAATCAACATAATTTCCATTTTTGGTATATGAGCACTACAGGAAAATAACTGCAGGTAACAACTCTGTCATTTCTTTGTGGTATGTCAGATCTCTCAGTCGTCCAGGTAGGATCCATAGCAAAGGAGCAATACAATTCCATCAACTGCAGAAAAAAAAAAAACAGCTTTTGTCCAATTGACAGAATTTAATTGCTCCTTTGCTAAGTAGTAAGTAGTTGTAGTTTCTGAAACTGCATGCAAAACTCAGTTTACTACTTAATATGCACTTGCTAATTTACTGCTTCATCTTCTGACATTCTCCTATTATTATCACTGTCCCACAGGCCATATTTCTGCACAGCGTG